ATTAGATGGCACTACTTGCATTTTGACTGGAAGAGATTCCTGCGTTTGTGTGTGTATGTGTGTCTATGAGAAAGAGAGAGTAAGAGAGAAAAGAAAGAGTGATAGAACGACAGAAGGAAGGAGAGACAGAAAGAGAACTGCTTACATACTCTTATTGTAAGTCACAGTTGGAATTGAATTTGTACAGAGGAGCAAAAAGCTCCAGTTTTTTCACTGTGTCAACTCTTTTACAACACTGTGTGAGCATGTGTGCTTGACATCGAGTGTGTGTGTGTGTTTGTGTGTGCTTGACTGCTTGTCCATGTGTGTGCGTGTGTTCCTGTGATGGTGGTCTCGCTCTAGTTGCTTCACTTTAAATCGCACACACCTTACAGAGCGCACACACACACACACACACACACACACATACATGCATGGATAAACCTCACTGAAGACAGAGGCTGTTTCCTACACTTAATTTCTCTCTGCAACATGCACACACAAACGTATTTGTCAGTGCACACAAGATACATATGTGCATACACACACACACACACACACACACACACACAATCACACCAGCACACATTTATTCTCTCTATTGCTCTCTCTTTCTTCCTACATCTGTCTCTCTCTCACACACACACACACAGAGACTCATGCAGGAACCTACATGAACTCACACAAAGACACATTCATTCATACATCCAAACACTTGACACACAAGACCTCACCGCACACACACACACACACTCACACCCACACTTCTTCTGAGCTTATCTCGGTGCAGTATGGAGCAGCTTTTGAAGGCAGTAGGGAGCCAGTTGTTGACGAGCCACTTAATAATTCCCTTGGACAGGCATGAAATTCTTTCCTTTTCTCTCTCTGTCTCTCTTTCTGTCTCCTTTGCTCCCTCACTAATATTCCTCTTCCTGCTGTGTTTTTATCTGTTTTTTCCCCCCGACCACTTTCTCTATTTTTCTAATTTTGTTCTGCTTTGTCTCATTTTCTCCACTCTGCTCCCTTTCTCTGTCTCTCCTTCTCTTCTCCTTTGCTCTTTTTTTTTCAGCTCTCCGTGATCCATCTTAGTATTCACTGGAAAACTCGCGTTGTTATGAACATGAAGGTTAATAAGGCACTTGTAATGCTAGTCTCATTGTTGAATAAAGTGCTAGCCAATAAGTCTGTTTTTTTTTGGACGCTCATTTAATGTGCTCTTCTCAGGAGATCACTATGACAGGTTGCCATTAGTGGAGAACAAATTGAGTTCCATACAGTCTACTTATAGCCTATAATGAACAAATAAAGTTATGTTCTGGTTTAAGTCAGCCTGTGTCTGACGCGTGTTCAACCCAGGTTGGAGAAAGGGTCATGGATCTGGGTCAGCTGATGTGCGTTGACACATGCAAGTAGACTACCAATGTCTTGTGCCACAGTTTCCCTCTGAACGGGGTATTCAGGCCCAGCCACATCAAAGTGGCACTGAGAAATTCATCTGCACTTATTTGAAATGGATATAGAAGCTTGGTGGTGTAGGAACTATTCACAGGGCTAGTTGGTAATCTACTCTGGCTGGTGAGCCAACTGATAACATGTTAGCCACCCAGGAATATGCTAGCACGAGTCAGTCACAGCAGCAAGAGGGGGAAAAACCAGACTGAACTGATGTTATGAGAGTTATGTAAGGAAGCTTGTTAGCTCAGTTGCTAATCACAAGAAGAATAATGGAATAATAAACTCACAGTGTTTATTCCAAAGACCTATTGGTACCATTGACTCCCATCTCTTAGTTGCCTAAAAACCATCTTTTTTGTGGAAAAGTTTATACTTTAGATATAGGGTTAAATAAAAGTGGACTGTGCAGTACAGTGCAGTAGCTCTCCTCCATTTCGAACTCTCCATCTCCCTGTTCCCTCAGGGGTCAGCACTGTGTGGAAACCTTGCATGCCAAAGTTCACCACACCTCAAGCAGATTTATTTTGCCCTTGTGAAGAAATACACATATTGCGGCAAATCCATCGGGAAAAAGATCGTTTCACTGAGAAATTTTGCCATTTTAGATGCAGGTGTCAACGGGCCTGAAGTAAACTATCTAATTTTGACAAAAAAGCAACGTCAGATATAGAAATGCACTGCATAGACACAAGACACAAATATAGAAACAACTTATTCATGATACAACAGAGGTTACAAGGATGCCCAAAGAGCTAATGAACACACATGGACGTGCGGTGTGCTAATTCACATTTTCACTGGATATATAAATTGAGTTAACAATGTTTATTTTATTTTTAATGGAGGATGTCTGTTCAGTTGTAACTCACTTGTGTTGTGGTGAAGATGGTTTTTACTTATTTTATTTTATTTTTTGGGGTTTTTTTTTCACCAGTGGTGAAAATAGCAGAGATGTAAACATGATGTTATCTGTGGCAGTATGGCTTCCAAGAGATTACTGCCCCAGGGTCATCACACATACATTTAAACATGTACATATAGGCTCCATACGAACTAACACAAACACATAGAAAAATACATCTGTCTTTACCTCCTTTCATCTTTCTTTTCCTACTCTTTGATTTTTTTTATCCCTCCATCTGCTCTCCTCCCCTCAAGGCGTAAGGAGAATCCTCTCGTTAATTTGCTATTTTTCTCTCTGCATGTCTGCTTTCTTTGTGCCCTTCATCTTCATCTCCAGCGCTCCCTCTTTCATCTTTTCCATGCTTTTAATCCTGTTTGTCCCCTCTTCTCCTCCTCCTCCTCCTCCTCACCTGTTTCTCACCCTTAACCTGCGTAACTGTTTTCTGTCATGTTATATATCTATAGTAACTATTTCTGATTTAAGGCAAAGCGGAGCAGAGTGGGAGACGGAGACAGGAAAACTAAGAGAATTACAGATTAAGCAAGTGTGTGTGTGTGTGTGTGTGTGTGTGTGTGTGTGTGTGTGTGTGTGTGTGTGTGTGTGTGTGTGTGTGTGAGAAAGAGAGAGAGCAAGAGAGACAAAGAGATCTCATTAAGTAAAGGTCACATAGCTGTGTGTGGCAGAGAAGGATAGGGCATTAGGCAACTTGTCACCGCTCACATGCGCTTAAACTCTTGTAACTCCTTAGTGCATGTCTGTGTGTGTGTGTGTGTGTGTGTGTGTGTGTGTGTGTGTGTGTGTGTGTGTGTGTGTGTGTGTGTGTGTGTGTGTGTGTTTGCTCTTCGTCTTCTCCTGTTTATTCATCTCTCTGTGGGTTGTAAGGGTTACATACAGTACATACAGTGTATCCGTGAATGTCAAAGTGTATATTATATGTTTGTTTGTTTTTTTACATGCAAGTGACATCATGGTTAAAGGTTTTCATGTCGGACCCTTATTTTCTTGTGTTTGTTTGTGTGTCCTCGCTGACATCCTTCATCATCCTGTATCTGTAGCAAAGTTTATGTTGTTGTTTATTGTTGTTTATGTTTTACACCACAGATACACACATACTATATCTGATACACACATTTGTACTTTCTCACTTGTTGGTAGAGCAGGTGGATCATCATCATAGGGTTGGTAGTTGGATCTCGGGCTCCTATCGAAGCATTCATGAGCAAGCTGAATGAAGTGGGGCGGCTCCGTTGCCACTGGTGTGTTGATGTGGGTGAATGGCAGCAGTTGTGTGGCCATTTTTCCTGTTTCCTGCTTGAAAAATATTGAATGTAATTCAGTAAATTTACTCACATACGGACACATATTCAGTGTGTTCAGTTTCAGTGGAGAGGTGGAAGCACAGAGGGGGACAGAAAAAGAGTCAATAAACTGGTTCAGAGGACTGGCTCTGTCCTGGACTGTCCCCTGCATGAGACCATGGGGACCTTAAGCAGCTCCTTCAGCAACAGACTGCTACACCCACAGTGGGAGAAGGAGCACCACCAGGTCCTTTGTCCTGATTACAATGACTTTTCAGCAGTAGCATACTGTTGTCTCTGTCAACATCACCCAGCACTTAAAACATCGCAGCTGCTTAACACAATATATCTCTGGAAATGTATCTTATTCATTCATTTATCATTTTGTCATTTATTTATCAACGCATTTATCTTTTAAATATAGTGTGCACATTTTTTACTCATCACTCACTCTTTTTTTCTTCTATTCTTAAGCTGCTTTAACAAGTGAATTTCAATCAATGAAGTTTCATCTTATCATCTGATCTCTTATCATCTTAATACAGTACATTTATTCTTTATTTCCTCTTCATCTTCTTCTGTTGTCACCCTGTATGCTCAGCTGAATTCCACTGTAGAGTGGTGACACTGTAGAGACCGTCGACACACACACACACACACACACATTCACACACACTCCCTATCCAGGAACTGTGGGCCCAGCAAAATTCTCAGTAATCAGGCTTGTGTGTCTATTGGCGGTGATAAATGCCCCCTCGGAAACTCGATGCCAAATAATCATGATTGACGCAGGCACACGGCAGTTTGAGATATGCTTGTGTGTGCCAGCTTGTTTGTGCTATTTTTGTTGGAAGGATCTAATCAAATGTAATCATGCTGATTACATTAATCGTGAGCTTTATAATCACCCCTTTTTTTTTTCTCTCTCTCTTCCTTTTAAAATTCGCCCCTGGTCTCTGTTAGTTGTTTATTCCTGCGTCTCCTTCTGTGTCTTTCACCAGCATCAGTCATGTCTTCTTTCTCGTGCACTTTGGGTAGAGGTACTGTATGTTAAAGCTGGCATCGCAGCACGAGCGCCAAAGGTCATGTTTAACAACAAGAAACAACAAAAAGTGTCCTGTGGCTCAAAGATAATAGACTGTTATATGATGCAACAATCTCTTATTGTAAATATTATATGTAAATACTTTTGCTTCTGTTATTCCTTCGTAAAGCAACCACCAGCAGTTCCCAGCTTGAAAAATGTAAATAAGGCTGTCAGTGCACAAGCATATTAATAACTAAATATGTAGCAGGAAGAAACTGAAGTTTAAAAAGTTTCGTTTTTTTTAATGAAACCTTTTTCTTTTTAATTCTCTCTTTAGGACACAGAAGTGGTGAACACGGCCATCCTTACAGGTCGGCGTATCGCCGTGCCCATCAAAGTAGTTACCGTGGAAACCGACGGGCAGGTGAGGGAAGTGGACGACTCGGTCACCTGCAGCTCAACAGACGTGGACGTGGTCAAGGTACGCGTTCAAACTATAAGTCATTAAGAGTGAACCATGCTTCCACACATACCATAACTAAAATGATCTTATCGTCTTATCAGCAGTAGCTGCACCACACAGTTCAATTGGAGATGTTTTTTATTGGTCTGCATTGCTGCCTGCAGTGTATTTTAGGGGATGACGGTAAACCTGCAATTGGTAAACCAGTTGATATTTTTCTTTGTGACTAAACGTGCTAAACTAAAAAAAAGTGGGCTTGGCAATACACAAAATATAAAATAAGTCATGGTCTGCAAGGTATGCAAAAATATGGATTAAGCATTCACAGAGAAACATTTACAGAATAGGGAGGAAGTGACAATAATGTAATCGGGGGAACTGTGGGTATTTTACACAGCAAGAAACCCATCCTGATTCATCATTATAATTCTTTCTGAGGATTAGTGTTGTCCTCTAATTCGCTTTATACAGGTGATCATAATAAGACACTTATCACAGTGGGCAGGCTTTTTTAAATCTCACTCTCTGTTTTGCTGAATGTCAAATGAAAGCGATTCAGAACTGTTGATATGTGGGGAAGATTACACATGCAAGAAAGCAACATGTATTTGTTTCTATTGTTTGATGTTAGTTACTTTTGTTTCAGTGTTTTTGGTAAAGTAAAACAGACTCAACTAGAATGACCAAAGACCAAAATTCCTGGACCCGCCCCTTTAACCAGATTGCACTTGGCCCAAGCTCCATCCCTCCACCCGCAAACAAACACACAACCAAACAAACAGACAGACAGACATAGGTGAAAACATAACCTTCTTTGTGGAGGTAATAGAATATGATGAAAGTATGCTGACTAAACAGATGATCATTAGAAGAACTCAACGAACGACAGCTACATCTAAGCTCGAGGATAACTTCCACAGGGTACCTTTAAGTTCCTAAACCTATAATTTCAGCAACATATATAGTCAAACTGTAACTGCATGCGCGACCTGCTGGTTATTTTTATAAAATTTTAATTAACCACATAAACCTTTGTCCTCTCGTTAATATCAAACTGGTTGGTTACGACTTCAGTTTATTTGGAGACCACAACATCATTAATTATCTCTAATGAATCCAAGGTTAAAGGTGCCGTGTGCACCAAACCCCAATTTCTAAGTTCACTGACACTTGGGTTTGAACCTACTGGAGGCACATGCTCAAGTGCTAAAACAATTCTACCACATAAAACTACAACAGAACTACTGTACTGATTAATAAAGCTGAAATACTTTTAAAAACACATCTTTACAGAAACAAGCCAATGCCAGGGAGTGAAGATTGATTCCTCTTGTGCTACGTTCCCTGTGCCCTCAGGGCCTAAAATGAAACGCACCCTTGCTGTGACAGTTTCAATATGAAGCCAATTTCCTCCTACAAGCCAACAGGAGTGGTGCTGTTTAAGTACGATCAATAACAACAGAGTGAAAATGGAAGTAACTAATTCAGATAGATGTAATGTTAGTGTGCTGTGTATGTGTGTATGTATGGAAAGGAAAGTAAATTAAAGTGTGTAGGAAAGGGATGTTTGCTTGTATGTATGCATTAGTGTGTGTGTGTGTGTGTGTGTGTGTGTGTGTGTGTGTGTGTGTGTGTGTGTGTGTGTGTGTGTGTGTGTGTGTGTGTGTGTATCCATGTACATTCTATAAAGTGAAGTCACAGGCTTCATCTTTGGGATAAGCGCAAAATTTCCAGTCGAGCTGATTCATGTTCAGCTAATGCAACCTAAATCAAACCCTTGTCTTCCCATCGATTTCGTATGCAGTCACTCCGCCGCTAAAACCACTTCACGCTCAGTCAGAATGCACCTGAAAGAACAGCTATAATCAGTGGCTGAAGCTATACCAGTGCGTCTTTCCTTCCTCTCTAAATCAGGGAACTCAGGTGCAGAGGTAGCAAAACACATTAGGAGAATTCATAGGCAACTGCTGTGCTGCAGTCGCAGGGTGGATCCTTTTGTTTTTTTTAATCACTGAAACTTAAACTCAGGGCTTTAGCTTGAAGAAAAGATGTCCTGAATGACTTCACCGTTCCATAAATCTACTCACACTGCCTATTATTGACATACACGCTGTAAAATTTGGGTACAGGAAGGCAATAGGCCTTTCTCACTAAGAAAGAAATGTGTCTTTCAACAACAGCATCCATCAAATGAAAGACACATTTCCTTGCCAGGAAGTGTCAGACGAGGGAAGCAAAATCAATCAGTTTAGATACATTTTAAGACAGCACGTTGTTATTATGTCAGACCTTGATATAACACAGCACAGAGGAGACTCTATAAACTCACTGCTGTATATGGATAAGCTGTTTAGCAACCTTTAGCCTTCCTTTGTGCTGATTGTGTTTGTTTGTGTGTCAAAGCAAGAGTGTGTATGTGATGACTGAGTGTTAGCAAACTGTTGTTGTTTGTTGACATCTGATCTGACATATATTCCCTGTCTCGCATTTCCTTACACACACACTCACACACAGCTTTAACACAGACAGCTGTTTGACAACGACACCCATGGGGTATAACTCCAGGTAGCTGTAGCTGTCAGTGACTCACAGTGACAGCTGCAAAGTACAATCCAGAGAGCCGAGGCATCACACACACAGAGGACTGTCATGCCCTGAGCTTTGGCTCTAAGGTGGCACTTCCTCACAGGCTTCATACAAAATGTGCATCTTCTGCCAGAGTTGTCAGACCTAAACTACTACAGCTCCCCAACTTATTGCACAAAGACATGTCCATTTAGATGTGCAGTGCATGATTAAAAATGTACTCAGGGCTAAATGTGGAGTTAATGTCTCGCTTCCATTATTTCCATTATGGCGGTGGGCATTTTTCATTGGTCAAGGTATCCTTCATCATGTGATCATTTTCTGTCTGTACAGTCTGAGTAACACCGTTCATGTGCAGTGAATCTGGCACACAAGATTTTGACCAACAAACACACTACTCCATATAAAACCACAGAAGCTGTTGTTTGTCCATGCTCTCTACAAAGTGATTTCTGATCTGATGCCCTCATCGACGGGCCTGCCGTCTGGTGTCAGTATTAGTAAACCAAATCAACTTTATTGATATCACACTTTGCACAGTTGATTTACAGCACAGAGAAAAAACTACACAATAATATAAAGTAAAAATACATATTAAAAAAAGTGTATATATATATATATATATATATATATATATATATATATAAATCACATGGTCACACAGTGCACATAGAGACAACACATACCACCAATTCATCCAGCTTAAACAAAAAAATACGTTGTTTGCCGTCTAGAACGACACACAGAAATGTTTTCTGATCTGACGCTCATATCAACAGGACATCATTTGACTGTGCTGAACCAAAATCAATAAAAAATCATCCTAATACTGTGGTTGTGGCCACACCAAGATTTCATACCATATTCATCGCAGTAGTAGCTTTTACAGTTCCTTTAGAGGTTCCAGGCCGCTGCAAAAATGAAAAGCACTAAACCGGCAGAGAAAATTAATGAATGAATCAAGCAATGACAGCAGTCTCCTTCACAATTGTTTAAACTGTCACATTCCACTTTTTACTGCAGGTCTGTTGAGCAGCTGCTCCACTTAGGCTTCATTTTTTTTAAACTTGTAAGAATGAAAGATAAACTTGTGAGGGGGAAAATGTATCTCTTAGCAATAGTCTGAGGAGTTGTTGTAAGAATGGTTTAAGGAATATTAGGGTTCTCATTTGGTTTCACATGGCATTCCATTAACCAACCTTTTTTTTTTAATTGCTCATGGTAGATAAATGTTTGCAGGGGGAATTGCTGAGCACTCTTCCCTGCCCCGCTAATGTAAGTATAGATGAATATGACTGGCTGGACCTGTCACTGGCTGCAGCGTACTGCTGTAGATTTCACTGAAGCAGTTCTTGTTCAGTTAAGCCCATTTATCCTTGACAACAACATAAGCAGCAGTGATGTACTACATAGATAATAACTCCTCTCCTCTTCTTCAGCCCTTCCTCCCCCATCCTCTCATTCTCTGTCAGTGTAAACTAGCTTGTTAAGTTCCCTTGAGATGCTGTCATTTGTGATGTGTGTATGTGCATGCGCTGCTACTGTTGACACAGCAGTATGTGTAGGTCACTGGTGTCACAGCTAGTAGGGGACAGATAGGGGACAAGCACACACATACACACAAATTAGTAGCATTATCCTGACCTCACGCAAGCCTTTCTCTGACAAAGCAAGGGGGTGAGAGAGAGGAGAAGATGGGATGAGGAGAAGATGAGGGGTGGATCGATCGAGGAGAGGAGAGGAGTGGAGAGGAGAGGAGAGGAGAGGGATGTAGGGGAAGTAAAAACAACACAAAAAATGAGGTGGAAGATAACAGAAGAAGAGAGGAAAAGGAAAGACATAAATGTAAAGAGATTATTTTTTACCTAAGAAAGCAAAACAAACTTGTCACAAGATGATATCCCACCGGTTTAACACCCAGACCCCTGAGTAGAAACAGCTGACTGTCGGTAAAAGCCAGGGTTAGCCATCAATACCTAAGACCCCTTTTATAAGATTGTTGTTTTAAAAGTAACCAACTGAAAACAAGTCAGCCAGAGTCGGGGTTTTCAACCAACTCATGTAATTAACATTAGCCAGGTGGCTAGCTGCAGCTGATTAAAATCTGCCAGGGTTTGTTGTCACTTCAGCAGGAATGTAAAGGCTGCGTCTGTCTTACCTCTGTCTCAAATCAAGAACCCGTTGTTTTAAAATGTTCCAAAAAAATATGAGTGGATAAATTGCTGTTATCACTGTAAACAGCATCTGTGGCCAACGCCATACTGTACATACATAAACAAAAGAACCAGTGCATGCTGTCGCCCTGTTTCTCCTCCATACTGGACATACACACACTTGCTACTATACTTGTTTCACATTACTGTTCACACACACACACACACACACACACACATACACACACTCACACACACAAAACGATCATCTCTCAGATG